TAAAATAATTTATACTTAATGTGTGATGGATGGTCCCATAATTATGAGACCTATTTGCATTTTTAAAAGAGGATCACTGCTGTCAAAAGTAATGCCTAATTAGTAGAATATAGGACAGTGTTACAAGGTATCAAGTCAATATGGACTTATTTTTAATTGGGGGAATGAGGAGAAAATAATTAGATTTAGATAAATGAGCCCACGGAGTCCGCTACTCTAAAGTGGCCTGATATATTTCTAGATTCATTCTTTCCTCAAGTTCTGTTGTCTTAGAGTCTATATCAACTCACATATTTGTCTGTTTTTACCCAGAAACTTTCTCAGAACGGGGAAGTGGGTACAGGGGCAGGGCATGTGTGGGTTTCTGGGTGTGTGTTAGTTTGAGGTGAGCACATTTCCCAAATGAACAGTGATAAAATCCTACACTGTTATAACTGCATGAAAGATTGATCCACTGCCGGACTATTCCATTCAGTATTAATCACCATCTATACAAGCAAAGCTAGATAGGGATAGATGTTGGAATGTGTCATGGAACAGGCAAAACAACAGCAGCAAAGACCATATGCAAACCTTTATGAATGTGTGACTGAAGGAACAGCCCTATAAGAAGCCCCCCAATTACCACGGAAGTTGAAAGGGTTCACAGGAGTTCCACAGCCGTATGTAGACAGACCAGAGCAAAAGAAAGCTGAAGCTTCTAGAGGTTATGTGTCATGCCTTTTGGGAAATGCTGCTGAGAATAGAATCCTGGTTCCGAACTCCCATAGCATCCTTCACTGCAGTCTCTCCTGGGCTAACTCCAGTATATCTCAGCTTTTAATCTACGTGTTGTTGGTACCAGAAAACACAGATGTGCACAAAGCAGATTTTAAATTGTGAGCATTTGGATTTGGTTTTGTTTTGACTCTCCAACATGGGTTCTTAGATCAGTAGTTCTCATTTCAAATCCATAATAAAAAGAGCCTCATCTTCTCTGGGTGAGCCAATTCTGAAATTTGGCTGATTCTTTCTACCAACAACGCAGCTGCGACGAACTTAGAATTTCAAATCCACACTGTCACACACTCGGTGATGACTGTGCAAATGGACTCAACTTCTCTGGAATACAGTTTCTTATTTTATAGAATGGAAGTGGTCACACTGACCTGACAATATTATTATTTTGACAAGAATGTGATCTTTCCCCTTATTAGTACAACAGTCTCACAAGCAGTTTCCTGACTTTTACCCTGGCTAACCTTTCGTTTATTACTGACAAAGCAGCTAGAAAGATCCTGCTAAAACCTAAATCTGGTTACTCTTCTGTCTAATGTCTCCTTCCCTAAAGGTTTCTCCTTCCTTTCAAAGAACAATTCAAACTCATTCATTGGTTTACATCCTCATTGGCTCTCTGACCTCACCTGCCACCACTCTCATCCTGGATCTTTTTACTCCAGAAACTCTGGACCTAACCCAGTTCCTAAAGTATACCAGCAATACACCTGCCTCAGGGCCTTTGCACAGCTCTCTCCTCAGTTTGGATATTCTTGCCTTGAGTATTCATATAAATCTCTTCCTCCCCTCATGTCTTTTTAGGTCTCTAAATTTCTTTCCAGAGAGGTTTTCCTGGCTTCCCTAGCTGAATTACAACCCACTTTTCTAACACTTCCTTTTGCAGCTTCATTTTCCTCTTTAGCTTCAATACTTTCCATATTTACCTATTTGTTTTATTTTCTCTCTTCCACAAGAATATAAGGTCAATATTAGCCTTTGTTCACTGATTAACTATATGTGACTTGGAGGTGGAGGGTGAAATCCACCCTCTCTGGAGATTATCTACCCCAGAACAGTTCTACAACAATGTCTGGCACATAGTAGAGTCTTAACAAATGGTTGTCAAACTGATGGCTGACTCTAAAACAGCTTCCAAAGCATTGGAGCATGAAAAAAGGAAAAGGAAGAAGGAGGAAAGTGAAGATGGGAGAAATAGGAGCGCATCATCCCAGAGAGTTTCAGTTATATGATTAAAAAAAAAAATCAGCCCATGGAAATTAATGCTTCATAGTTGAAAAAACCAGGAAAGAAACAAAACACCGGAAGGATGGCTAGTCTTCCTTGTTCACTCAGCATTCACAAGTGTATGAAAGGTTTACCTTGACCTGGCACAGCACCACTGCCCCAACAGCAGGAAGCAGTCTCACTTTCATGAGTGACCAGACAGCCCACTCCCTCACAGCAAGAGAGAATGAGTGATCCAACACATAGACAGTACAGTTACTTTAGGATACTATTAGCAATTAGACCCATCTATTCTTCACCGCTTATTTTCTTAGGAACCTAACTGGAACATATATGTAATGTCAACAAATATGATCATCAGTCTAGGTTCAGTCATAACCTGAAACATAATACTCCTCAATGCACACATTCTCAAAAAGGACAAATACACCCGTTACTGTTATTGGGCAGAATGAGGGGCACTTGGGACCCCCAAACCTGCCAGCTTTAAATAGGGTTTGTCAACTACCACATACATACAAAACTTACTCTTACTGGGTAAAACCTTCAACAGAAAAGAAGTTGAATGCAAGTAGCATGTAACAGAGAGACAATGGGTGTGCAATAGCAAGAGAATGAATATAGTTAAGAATGTCTCCATGAAACACCCAGTTACCATCCCCTTGTGGGTAAATACCCAGCCAACAAGGCTGGTCCAAAGCAGGGCCACTGTGTGCCACACCTTTAGTGGACATCCATAGGAAAGATTCTTGCAGGCAAGTCTAGAAGGAAAACAACAAAATCAAAATACAAGTGAAGATAAAGGTTGCCATTATCAGCCTCCACACAGGCCTCTCACCCATGCCTCTTCCTTGTCCCCAAGGCCAAGGTCAAGAAGAAAGCATGGCTTTTCTTCACATGTCTCTGCTCCAAATGCCTCCGCCAGATCTTGTCTCCTTCCTGCCCCTCCACCCTCCAGTCCTTTTCCCAGTTTTTCTAGCTTCTCACCGCTCTGCTCCACCCTTCCTTGCATGGGGCAGGGAACCTGGAATTTCCCCTTTCTATGGCTATTAGACTGCTTTATTACTACTCATTTTTGTTAAAGATTTATTTATTTGTGCATACAGAACTGGGTGTGAACAGGCCAGAGGTACAGGGGTGGTGAGAGGATTCATCAGAGACGGAGTGGAGAGCAGAACAGGCAAATCATCATCGAAGTACTCTGCTGAGGGGAGCAGCGGGCAGGTCAGGGGAGGCCTGCCACACCATGTGGTCACCTCAGGGGCAGGCGGGAACCGAACTCATACTGACGTGGCTTTAGATTCTCAGTGCTGTGCTTTGATGCGCCACCAGGGAGGGCCCCCTCATAGTATTTTGAATCGAATCCTAGACATCATATTATTTCCTCCATAGGCAGCATTTAGATTATGTGATAAG